CAGCAGATGTGTGGAAATGGAGTGGGAAACAGCGAGGGACACGAAGAATGACAGCTATTGAATAAGGAAATCTCGATGGGGATCAAAACGCGCATTCAGTTGTTGTTTTTTTCCCCTTAAGACCGCTTCTTTTCTGTCTCAGTTTATGTACTTACTTCCTACTCCTTATGTGAAAGAGATTTGATGCTATTCCAATGGAACCGGCGTAGTAAATACAAGCGTAAATCGGGAAGGATCTGCTGGAGTGGGCAGTAACGATCCGACGACAAAAATTAAGTTGCGGGCGAAGACTTAAATCGCAAAAAACGATTAATCGAAACAAATGAGAATCGTGAACCTGTGGTTCATACGATATTTCCCTACTGGGGATGACCTCAAGAATAAGACACTAAATCAGCGTTTCTCAACCTATGGTACGCGAACTAAGTACGAAAATCAAAAGATAATATTAACATAAATAAGTTTTCCCTTAACGCGTTTGATTTAGTGGTACCCCAGCGAAAAAGGGGTTAGAACCCCTGCCCTAAAGGAATGATATAAAGTCACCGGACATTCTGTATATGGCCAAATGTAATACTTTACTTGGTAAAACAGTGTTCAGAAGTACACATTTCAAATTATACATACACAAGATTTGATGTTAAGGCGTGGAAAAGCCAAACGAGACTGTTAAAAGAATTCAAAAATCTTACGTACAAAAATTAGAAAAAAAGTGACTGACGTATGTGGAAAATATCGATAATATAGACAGGCTTAATTTAACGATCATGTATAAGAACCAGGTAAAGACAATTGAACAAAGATGACAAAAAATTACAAACTAACCGGACAAAGAGAGAATATAATGATTTTGAGCCCGGTATAAGAACACCCTGATCAGTGATTCGTACGTAAGGACAAAGAACATACACACGATATGACGTCCGCTCCAAGGCGCCGCTGTGCCCTAAGACAAGATTTCATTATGTCCGATACAAACCTTAAGCTACATCGGTGCAGAGTCAAAATATCCGTCCACGAAGTACGAACCAAAATTAGATATTTGTGGCGTGTTCTTAATTGGCGCACTTTTAATTACAAAAGTACACTTAATGTCTGCTCTGGGCTCACATATACCAGTGGTATTCAACCTGGGGTACGCGAGGACATTTTAGGGGGTACGTGAAATTTAAAAAAAAAAATTTTTAATGATAAACACTGAATAATCAGTAATGTAATTTATTTAATTTATTTTAGATGTAGATTATATACTATGTATAACTTGAATTATACACCAACAACTTTTGGGGGTACAAAGTGAAGAGAAATTATATCTGGGGGTACGAGAAGACATCTTAGGGGGTACGTGAAATTTAAAAAAAATATTATTTTATGATAAACACTGAATAATCAGTAATGTAATTTATTCAATTTATTTTAGATGTAGATTATATACTCTGTATAACTTGAATTATACACCAACAAATTTGGGGGTACAAAGTTGAAGAGAAATTATATCTGGGGGTACACGAACAAAAAAGGTTGAATACCACTGACATAGACGACATTTTTCATTGTCATTCTAGTGTATTGAAAAGGTTTGAGCCACATATTCACCTATGAAATGTTTTAGGTACGTACTGCAGAACATTCAGATAATAATTTTAAGAACAGACAGTGTTATGAGTTAACCAAACATTATATCTTTCACGCAGATTATATTTAATCTGAGTTTGATACTCTGGGCGTCAGAGATGCATCCGATTCAACTGTTAAGCTCTTCAGCTGTTGTCGTGTATAACACAAAGAGACGGAAGACTAATTTTTAATTATTCACGAGTTTAAAGAACATATACCCAGTGGCAGATAGCAGACACATCCATCAGCAGAAGAAATTTCCTTTGAGTAACTTACACACAAATAACACGTGTTAACACAATTTCCCTACTTTTCAAAATCAATTCATTTATTTACGTTATACATTCCATAATTTGAGGAAAAGAAAAATGAGTCTCCTTCCACAAGAACTTCATTTAAAACGAGATGTACGTATAATATAAAAGAGGTTCCGAAAGTGATGCTAGTCCGCAGAACAATTGCGATCACAAAATTATTAAACAAAATTAATAAAAATCACAAATAAGTAGCGCACAATTGACAAGATTCTTCAGGAATAAATTAGTCGGAGTATCAATTTTTTTATTCATATTAGCAGCACAACCACAGAGCATTATAGCTGGAAGAAAGGAAGAAAGAAAGAAAATAAAGAAGAAGAGAAGAGCCCATCAGACCCTCGGCGAATTTCAGATGGTCAGGGGGAAGTAGTTTTGGAACGCGGTAATGTCAAAGACCACTCTATTTATCCTCCAAGTTGAAGAACCCGTCATGGATCTAGTCAGGAAAGGGCAATAACGTACAAGAAGTTTTCGAGATTACGTTCTTATCGGCAGGAACGCAAGCAGCTGTTGACAAGTCCTGTCCTCCCACCGGCAAACTTACTGAATACAATCGACTTAAGGTGAGGGCGGGTGAGGGCAAAGACGGTAGAGGGTGACGTGTAAGACCACCACCTGGCATACACAGAAGACCAAGCAGGCGACACCCGTATCCAAAAGACATCTCCTTCCCCTACCATCCTAACAGCGGATGTACGAGCAGGAGGAAAATTACGCAGTATTTCAGACCGATTGCAGAAAAAAAAGATGCACGAAGTCTTTTATTCTGAAACATTCTTATTCCCACCTCTGGAGAGAGAGAGAGAGAGAGAGAGAGAGAGAGAGAGAGAGAGAGAGAGAGAGAGAGAGAGAGAGAGAGAGAGAGAGAGAGAGAGAGAGAGAGAGAGAGAGAGAGAGAGAGAGAGATAGAGAGAGAGAGATAGAGATTGTATGTCTATACATCTACAGACGCTGTGGAGCATTCAATCGCAAAACAGGATCTTCAGAGGCAACTTTCTAAGAAACTGTCGAGACCTGCCCGCCAAAATGTATTCAGCTGTTTTCTAAGAATTATTACGTCATTAAACACATGATTCAACGTGACGATGGGGGATTGTTCCGAAAGCTTTAATGGAACTAACATTTTGAAAATAAAACTGTATGGGCTCAAACAGGCTTTGCAAGTTTGATAACATAATTTCAGTTATGATGAAACTATTTTCATTGTAAGCACTGTTATGCTAAAAATTCTGTACGTTATAACAGAATGCAAGGTCAAGTCACAGAATAAATACACTGATACTATAAAGTAACACTTAAATTATTTATCTCCAGTGATGCAGTGTTCAAGTGATACAAAGTTCAAATATTTGGGAACGACAATAACAAATCAAAATGACACTCATGAAGAAGTTAGGAGGAGACTAAATTCCAGAAATGCTTGCTACTTCTCAGTTCCAAGTATTTTGTCTTCCCGTCTGATTTCTAAGAACCTGAAAATTAAAGTATACAAAACAATAATCTTGCCTGTTGTTTTGTATGGGTGCGAAACATGGTCTCTCACTCAGAGGGAAGAACACAGATTGCAGGTGTTTGAGAATCGGGTGTTGAGGAGGATATTGAAGGAGACTGGATTTTGTTGGCGCAGGACAGGGTCCTGTGGAGAGCTTTGGTTAATTCGGTGATGAACCTTCAGGTTCCCTAAGTCAGCTAGTTAGTTAGTTAGATACAGTGTTAAAATAATTTCCACTGTACAAGGAAACAACAATCTAAAAGTGTCTTATATATATACTATGAACACTGACAACCCCTTATTAAAATTAATTACTATTTGAATTTTTCCTTTGAATGTGATAACCATTTTGCACCATTCACAGAAAATACTTTGTTGCAAAACTCACTTTCTTACTTCCTACAATGACAAAACAATAATTACACATTTTCCTACTTCTTACTTCCTACAATGACAAAACAATGAATTACATATTTCCCTAGGAAATGTGCACTGAAACATTTGCTAGAAAGAACATGTTGCTGTTAAGTAATGCCAAATTGTTAATGCCAATGAACCAAGAGCATTTATGTTTTTACGAGAAATGATGGTTTGCCCTTTTCAAATAGTTAAAAATACATGCTTTCACAGAAGAACACTGAATCACTGAATTTTAAGAAACATAAAACTTATTTTAAATTCTTACCCTGAATAGTCAGCTTCCTCTTCAAGCAAAACCACCATCTTCTTTCACTGAACATATATTTAATTATATTGTAATCGATGCATAATCCGTAACATAAAAAAACATATCTCTTCATGATGCACAGGAAAAAAAGCTGCTTGAAATTTGTAGTTTGATATTTATGCAGTCAAACATACTTCGGCTCATGCATAACAAAAAATGTTATGTAGTTGTCTTAAAATGACGTTAACATTAAGTATGTAATGGATTTGATTGCCGGCCAAAAAAAGTGATAATAAACCAAAAAATATGCAGTGCAAAACTTTTTCGAAAATATGACTATTAAAAACAGCACCTCCTATAAGATAATTTTAATTTACTACACTTTAAACAATGAAAGTAGAAATTATTATCAAATTCGTTCATAAGTGATTCACTAATCTGAGGTTCGCAAACGTAACTTATCGGACTCTTTAAAATGTGTAACGTATTCTTTCTACGAGTTAAAGACATTCAATAACACGCATAAGTTGTTCAGTATTTTGGGATTCAGCTGGGCTAAACACAAAAGAGAAACATCAAACATACAAAACATAACCTAAAACATTCGAGGTCATAACAAGACTAGCATCTTTAAAACCTTATTTTTCCTTGAAGGAAGAACTGAAATTAACATCTAAACACCATACGTCTTTCTGAATGTGATATTGGTGATGTCAAATGGAAAAACTCTCATAAAATAATATTGATACTGCACAGAAGCTCTCGTAAATAGTTATAATGTGGAAGAAGAAACTGCTGAAACAATAATCTTGTACAAGTATAATTATGTACATATTACGCTTGATGCTAAAGTCTTGTTATGATCATCCTGAAACAGAGAAAACAATTAATATAAATTTCTTTCATCTTACTGTTGCTGGGGTAGTAATAAGCCAGGAGCTGCTGTGGTTGAAGTGGATGGATAACCTGAAACAATGGAAATGAAGCGTATGATAATACAAATTTACAAACATCAACTGGTTAACGATGTCTAAAATAATTTCTCTTTACTCTGAAAATGATTGTTAAAGCACTCTAAATGGCCAAGTTTGATCACCGCTAACCGGGCATGCCATAGTAACTGCAACAAAGTCTTCAAATTCTTGCTCATGACTCGTGCCTCGTAGTTCTCAGCATAGAAATTTGTAAGAAAATAATATTTAGAATATACTTGTGTGGACTATGTTTATTTCACTGTTCGTACAACCCAATGATGATGGTCACATTTACATACAATCACAATGTCAAACAATCATAGAAGGATAATAAAATTGAGTTTCACTAAAAAAATTACAATTACAATTACCATATTAAATTCACACTATACCTCCTCTCCCCCGTGTGCCTACATGGCATGCAATGGGATGGCTTTTTATTTAGAACATAAAGAATACATGAAAACCCCATGAGGTATGTATGAATTCAGTAATTACATATGTAGTTTAGAATTGGCCTACCAATCAGAAATTCAGAGAGCAATAAACAAACTGAGTTCAACCCTTACTTAACTAATATATACCTTGAAGAAAACTAAACGCCACAGGCCTAATTGAAAATCATCTCGTTATTATTGTTCCACACACACTTGCAAATTGTTTGAACACAAACCCTTAAAGCTAGGAAATAAATTCTCGACACTTCAACGTAAAACAAACAACTCAAGTGTATTATTTAAGAACAACTACACACATAAAACTGCAGAATGCAATATCACTTGCAAATGTATAAGAAAATGATACGAATACAAGTAATGGTTACTTAAAAATGGCGGTAACTCGAACCGTATCGTAATTGATAGTAAGTTAAACTCAAACCGTAACATTAATTTCCGTATTTAACTAAAAGTTTCAGATTGAACATTGCTGGAACCGCAAAGCAAAGAAGAAATTGAGAATTTGAAATTAATAAGAAAAATATTGCCGAAACCCGGGATCGAACCAGGGACCTTTAGATCTTCAGTCTAACGCTCTCCCAACTGAGCTATTTCGGCACACAATATGAACACTCCATTCCATCCTTTACCTTGAAAGAAAAGACAATTAAAACCTGAATAACTAATGTTAGTTAATTCCAAACTATTTTATTAATGAATTTGGTTTTTTGAACAACCAAAAAGTAAAACACGAAATCAGGCATTTCTGCATATTTTTACTTATAAGCATAACATTTGAGTAACATCGGTACTGCCACCTGTTGAAAGAGAATTGTAAACGCCAGTACATATTGTCCCACTTCTCCCATCTGGCGACCAAATGTCAAACTTCTTCAAAAGTCGGCTCCGATGGAAGACTGTAGCTATACGAATAATGTTCACGTAACGAAGATCCACGAGTATCATATATTCATTATCTCTGCATCAATGTCCATAATATATCTGTACTTAAAATTGTATTTTACTCCAAAATCCCAATCTCATGCTAAAAAATATTTTTCATCAATTCTATGTAATGGACATTGGGTATCAAACAGTTCATAATCTTATCTTCCTGGCTGCTAAAAACCAAAAGCTTTAAATATATAAAACTACATTTTTAACAGTTGTATGGAATGGGTGTGAAACTTGACCCCCAACATTACAGAAACAACACCGACTTGCCTGTCCGATAACAGAATGCTAAGGATAACAAACATAAATAAAACCAAATGCTATAAAATGCTATTCTCTATGGAAATAATTAATTCTAAACAACTACTTACGGTGGTCTCCTGATGAACTGCTGTTGTTGGTACCTGCTACTGCATGCTGGTTCTCATTAGAATCATAATGTTTAGAACTTCTAACCCTGAGATCATCAGACACTGTCACATTTTGGTGCAATTTCTTGGAATCATTTCTCCCCCTCCTTACATTTGGTATACACATTGTATCATTACACTGAACTGCATTATGCTGTTTCTTTCTCCACTCGCAAATTTCTATATGAATTTCCTGCACCAGCCTTGTTTGTTCCTCCACATTCAGTAAACACCCACTTTCTAATACATTTGGTTTTGGTATGTTTCCCATCGTGCCAACAGCATCATTCTGTTTGTCACTTTGTTCTTTACCATTTTTTTCTGTATATTTAGAGACTTCATATGGTTTTGTTTTATTTCTATTATAAAATAATTCCACATTATTAATGAGGGATAAATATTGATTCACAGGTATAATAGGAACATGTGCGCGCAATGAGCATTGACGCTGTTTCTGCAAAAATCTGTGTCTCGCTGATTGACTTGAAACTAGATGTTTCGTTGCGTCTTGTTCAGCAGACGCACTTTTCACACTCGATGGAAATGATGGTTCACCGCCAAATAGAATATCAGTTTCCAAGTCACAAGTTTGTTTACTTGCAATTGCTGCCACATCCAAGCGAGCACCAAGTGGTTGTACTGTTGAGGCGTTACATTTTTTCTGCAACATGCATATAAAAGAACTATTAACATTTAAACAGAAACCTTTAGTGCAGGTACAGTAGCCACTTAGTCTGCTTCAAGTTGAGTTATTAAAGTAATTTATTCTCATATTCTATAAAATTTTACTATGAATTACAGTCTAATTTCATAAAATACAAAGTTTCACATGAATATGACTAAAGCATAAGACTATCGTCCTTACTGAAAAAATAAGCTTGGATAATGCACAAAATTGTCCATATCAATTAAAGTGGGCCAAATTAAAACTCTGGAAGAAAGAAGACACAAGATCCAGGGGACCAGAGGGGAAAGATATTATCAATTAATGGCCACCTGAAACTGATCATTCAAACAAATATTTGACACCACAACAAGCAGAGGCAGATACACTGGCAACTTTGCGTACTGCTCCAACAGTTGCTGCATTCTTAGTCCCAAATTTGTTAACAAACTCACAAGTTACTTATTTGTTTCTATTTTAAAATCTGTGAGTCATGGAACAGTGGCACCTTTACTCTGTGTTATGTAATAAAAAGAAAAAAAACTTACTTGAATGGCTCTTGAAGTACCAGACAGGGCCGATTTATTCGTAAATGTAATATGGGATTTTCTCTGTATTTTAAAGTCTTCTTTTTTACCACTCTGTTTTCTTCTTGATGTTGTGTTCGATTTTTCATTATTAGGTGATGCTAACTTGCCATTAGTTTTCTTCAGGACTGCAGATGATTTCCTGAAGTAGTAGAACCATGTCAGAATTTGGAAATTTGATTTTACAGCTATATAACAATAATGAAAGGTGCTTGTGCTATAAAACTTTCTTGGGCATTAGATCAAGATCCAACAACATAAAACATAATATCCCATGATATAAACAGATAGATGAATTCTTTAGCTCAGGGATTCTCAATCTTTTAGTACCTGGGGCCACATTGGCCATTTCTTATCATTATCATTAATTATCACTGATAATTATTTACAAAAGTAAAAAAAGCAATCAAGGGGCTAAAGTGACTTGCCTTCCATATACGTATCACATCATCATAAATAAATTACAATTACCATTTTGTTTTATTGCCTTGTGGCTGAGACTTTGAAGTCTGCTGTTGCACCTGTGAATGTTCTTCTTGCTCCTCTAAATCACTTGTTATAAAGCCTGGCAGGTTACTAACAATGTTTGATCGTATAAGTACACCATCTCGAAGATTCCTACTGCCAACTTTAAACACAGTATCAAAGTGCTTCTTAACTTTAACACAAGGACGTGGACCGCTACCTGATGCCAACAAACTATGCACAGACACCTGTTTGCTTTTCAGTTTCTTTCCTATCATTGCAGATTAAAAATCTGTATTCTGTCCCGAACGACAAATATGACAGTGACAAAACCAGGTAGCTGAAATAACACAGCAATAGATTAGCCAAATTAATACAAAATCTCAATTGGCTAAATTTATGTTAGAACTAAGTTCAAGAACAGACAAATAATTATATTATTGCAGCATTAACCACACACAGCCATTAAAATGCAAGGAGATAAATTATTGGTGATCAGACAGCAATAATACCTCATACCAACAACCAACATGTATAGCAAATTCCATGAGGTTAATAAAAGCAGTGAGGGGTGAATGTGTTCTGAATACATTTTGTAAAGGTAAGTAAATAAAGTCTGAACAGCAGTTACAACATGTGAATATGCTATAATATGAATCTGCTAAGCCTATCTTGATGATAGCATGACAGTGATTTTAGAATAAACGTTATTTATATAACACAGATCCTTCAAAGGCTGAAGCCAAGGATGTAAAACATGTCATACCACAAATACAACACTTATTTCCAGTAGAAATATGAATTACACAGTTATGACAGTCAACTGCTCTTGTGACAAAAGTAATTACATAAGAAATTATACCCACTATTGCTTGAATATTTTTATAATAGATGGGAATTTTTGGTTGAGGTAAATTCTTCAGTGGAGTAGGAGTGAAAAGAGTCGTGAACACATTACACGAAATAACAGTTAAAATGTTGACGTAACGAAAACGGACATATGACGATACTCAGCCCTACGCTAAAGTCGACAGATCTGTACACATCACCACACTTATTATACAATACAGTTAAATTACGAAGGCACTTTCATGATTGTACAAGAAACCGTCTTCATGCTAGATTTCCAAACCAGGCGCAGTCAATATCGACTACTATCGACACACATTAACTTCAACAACATCGATAGATATTGTTTAGTATATTTACAACGAAAAAATATTTACCTAACCTATAAATCTCCATTACATCTATAGCTATTTTCTCAGTACCAAACATATTAAGTATTATAAAAAGTTAAAACAGTCAGATTTGGAGCATATTTAAAAGTGTAAGGCTAATTGTCGAGATTTTACATTTTCATTTATAATTTTTGTTTGTATAATAATGTATCTCGCGAATTTGCTAGAAAACGTTGCTGATTGATTCCTATGTGTAATAGATTTCCACGTGATAGTCCATATGACAAAGCTTTTCAGTTTTTACAATAAATAAATGCTTTGAGTTGGCTAATTTTGTAAAATTACTATATTTCATTCTAGATTTAATCTTATCACTCATGCCTAACCTATAAGAACATGTGATTGCAGGCAATACACAAATAATTCACCTTCAGTTTTATTTTTGAAAACTGTACAGCATAGTATATATAATTTGTTATATGTATTTAATTAATTCTGTTTGCTATTGCAGAAAAAATGTCTGCGAATATTCCAGGAATAGATGCTCTAAATACTGATGCTGAACAGGTTAAGTCAGTAAGTATATCATAGATCTAAATCAGTTATATGAAAGTAATTGTGACTAAAGTTTGCCAGGCATGGACTCAACAGAACTAAGAGGTATTTCCAGGCTGCTGTGAAATAGAGTTGAACAAAGCATGTTATTATAGTTTTCCCAGTTACATGCTTTTCATTCATTATGTGATGCCTTTTATTCGTGTTTATTTTGTAACAACTTCTGGCCAAAATCTGCATTTTCTCACACTCACATTGTCCATTTCCCTGTTTTTTTATTTACCATATCACTGAGTCAGCCTTCCAGACTGCACAAAGGTGCAATGTGACATAATTTAAATCTTTTTTTACAAACATTTCAGTGGGTGAAAAACACAGGGAAACTGATAAACATGCTTTGCCAAGAATAGGTACATTAGTGTATTATGTATGTCATGTTTGAGTCACCCGATAATGTATTCTTTATTAAGCTTATTATGTTGTAAAGCTGCAGGTATTTCAGTATCCTTATTGTGTTATGTAAAATACTAATGGACTTATGCTTGTATTATTTTTTAGTTTCGGGACTTCTTAATGTCTTATAACAAACTGTCAGAGTTGTGCTTCAATGACTGTATATGGGATTTTACATCAAGAACAGTTAAAGCACAAGAGGTATATAGCAAACCAGACTACTCTGTTATTCTGAGTCATGATAACAAGTGTGGTATGTTTTTACAGAATTAATGTGATTTCAGAAAGCTGTCTCTCTTTTTTTTCCCTAGGATAAGTGTGCTTTAAACTGCATGGAGAAATATTTGAAGATGAATCAGCGTATTTCACAGAGATTTCAAGAATTCCAGATTATAGCAAATGAAAATGCAATAGCTGCAGCCCAAAAAACAGGTGCCATTCCTCGATGATAAAACCTGCTGTTAGTTTTACATACTTATATTGCCAGAAACTGCTGATGTCAGAAAGTTATTTGTGTGAAAATTGGGCTAAAGAGCTGTTACACAACATTAGGATTTAAAGGACTTTAATAGCCCATCCATATTTTTGTTATACCTTATGAAAATAATAATGTTTTTCTGTTTTGTGTACTATGTAGACATATGAAAAATAAATTGATATGAATAAAGAAAATACATTTTAACCACTTCAATTTTGCAAACATGATTCATAGATGTGGCTAGTCAGATACCATATTTGATAGGGACTAAAATTCTATAAACATATATCCATAATCAAATATTATTTGAGAACATCCAAATATCAGTCAGCCAGTACCCTCCCCATCGTGCATTCATTTTATGCATTTGGGGCAAAATGTAAAACAATGGGGCCCACATAGAACTGAATTATTATTCTTAAGTTCAGACACATTTATACTCCTGTATCTCGAATGTTGAAATGAAACTGGAAGTTTTTGGAAACAGAATTAAAGAATAATAAATCAATCACGGTTAAATGGCAGTTGAATTCTTCCGAAGAAACTGGTTGTGATCTGATCAAAACTTGACTGAATCATGTAGAACTACCAATAGGATGTGTAAAATACAAGGAAGGAAGGAACATTTTCACATCGGTATATCGACACTTAGCACAGAGTATCAATTTATTTGTTATGTTTACCTAACAGTCTTTGGTACTACATGTCTCTGCAGTATTTATCCATACAAAAATAAATTAAAAACACAATAAGATAAATATTTTACATCCCTTAATCTTAAACCAGATATTGGTGATAGTCTTACTATACCTAGGCAAGACACTATTATGGATAAATAATATTTAAGTTATCATAAAAACTAATTTTAGGTTATAACTTAATTCATAGATGGACACAATTTTCTTTTACCCTCTGACAAATGCTGCCAAAAGAAGTAAGCTAACAATTGTGTACTGTCTTCAGGATCTGGTTAGATCTTTACTTTAAAGCATGAAACAAAATAACTTTATGCAATATAGATTATAAATAAATAAGAATGAATATTTATGAATAGGGTATGAAACTGTAGTTTAAAAATACTTGTATATTTTCATAATTGATTGATTTTATAAGTGTCACCAGTCTATGGGTGTATAACTTTAATACAAATTATGAAATACTTATTAGAGTTATCCTACTTTCTCTATTAAATCTCATATACAGTGGAGATTATTTTTCATGTTGGGAACTGATCATATTTCAGTATCAACTGTTAGTACTATAAGTCTCAATAGGTCTATGATGAATTATATATTTTCAAAAATTAAATTATTCTTAAATTAATTATGTTTTTGGGCACTTGTCATAAACGACAGGCCAATTACATGTCTGCATTTCCCTGTCTCGTGGCAATTCCTGTGTTTAAACCTTCGTATCAAATGTATTCTGCTTTTGCAATTATTATTTTCAGATTATATTTGAACCTTACACGTCTCGCAGCTGATACAAGCGCTTTTTAAATATATTTCATATAGCTTCATTATGTGAAATGTTGGCAAGGATCTCACTCGTAACTTCTGGGGAAGATGTGATGGTTGTGGTGACAGAAGTATTAGGGGGAATTGTGGAAGAGACGACTGCTTGCTCCACCTGTGTAGCTACCTCACAGTTACGGCCAGTGAACCCTTCAGCGCAGAGACATCGGTAGTTCCCGTCTTCTTCTGTGAGACTTACGCAGGTTGCTCCGTTTTCACATACGTCTTTGTTCATGTCACAGTATTTGAGCTCTGTGAATACAAGATATGAAATGAGTAGACTAAGAA